CACAGTACAGCCTGGAAGACCATTTAGAAGGGCATTGCAGTAATCGAGGCGGGAGATGACAGTAGATTGCACCAGAAGCTGGGTAGCAATCACAACACCCAGATTTCGAACTGCCTTTGAAGAGATAGGAAGTCATTTTGGATTGAGATATTGTGCTGTATGGATGGTTTTGCTGGGATGACAAGTAGTTCAGTTTTAGAGAGGTTGAGTTGGAGATGATGGGATTTCATCCATTTTGATATGTCAGAGAGACAGTTTGATATTTGTGCAGAGACAGTGTGGTCGTCCGGTGGAAATGACAGATAGAGCTGGGTGTCGTCTGCATAGCAGTGGTAGGAGAAGCCATGTGATCGAATGATCTCACCCAGTGAGGTGGTGTATTTGGCAAAGAGAAGAGGTCCTAGTACAGAGCCCTGGGGGACTCCTGTGGCAAGATGGTGCACAGTAGAGGAACAAGGGCAGGTGTTACAGTAATGATGTCATCATGTTATCCTGAGGATGCTTTAGGACAAACTAAGCTAGTTTCTTACTATTGTAATGTTTGTGCAGCACTAAAGCTGAGACACGATATTTAGGATAATCTTAGTATTTTCTGATGTTTTCATGTTTTGCGTTCTGAGAATTCTGTGTTTCATAATAACTGCTAACAGTTATATGATCCTTAATAAGTTTCTGATTATTTCTTATCAGTTCTGTCTGTTTATTATATTTTTCTGATCTGAGAGACATTTCTAAACTTCCATTGTAGAAAACGGTTGCATTTAGCAAAAAAATTCACTTGGATGGTTTCTTTTTTTATTTATCGCAACAGATTATTGTTTCAAAAATGTTAGTATGTAAATGTCAGAGTGTTAGGGTTAACCCTCTGTTAAACAGACACAGACCAGTCCTCAGAGGACAAAGCAACTTAAAATCTGTCATTTTAAACAGGATTGAAATGGATTCATTGTGTTTTAATTGTTTGTTTTTTCTGCGTGTTGTCGTGTACAGCCCTTTATGACTATTGCCTTGAAATGTGCTCTAGACCACATATGTCAGACTCAAGGCCCGCGGGCCAGATGCGGCCCGCGGAGCATTTTTATGTGGCCCGCGAGATAAATATCAAAAATATATTAAAACTGGCCCGCTGGCCGATTTTACCGCAAAGACTTCAACTCCCATGATGCTTTGTGGCGTTAGCGCAGAGCCGAAGCGCCCCCTCCTTTGTGTCTTTTCCAGCGCCTGCTGCCGATGTCTGCAGCTCCGCTGTCTCGGACAAACTACACTCCTCTCACTCAGCGCCGAGTTCACTCAGCTGTTTTCTGACGTTGAAGCCCAGAAACGGAGATTCTAGCCGCTCAGTAATGTGTTCAGAAAGTTTTCCAACTAACGTCCAGACAGAGCTGGCATAACTCCAGCGAACAGCGACACGCTCAAACCAGCACGGCTCTGTGGTTGCTGTCGTTGTGTTTCCTCCCCGACACACAACAACGTGGTCAAGCTGCTCAGACATGTTCATCAGCACAAATCTATGTGAGCACCTGTTGTCATCTAATGTTGTCATTATTATGATGAAGATAAACAAAACAACAGGAGTCTCCTCCTCAGCTCAGATCAACTCCATGATGCAGGTATCTGGCTGGAACAGGTGAGCATCACAGTAAACCAGTGGAGCAAACTGAGCTTTAAATATGTTGGTTTTATGCTCTTTTTCTGCTCCAAAACATGAAAGTTAACAGGTGAGATGTTGCATTTTCATTTAAGATAAAACGATAGTTTTATTTTGTTGTTGGCCCGTGAGAAAATATTTAACCTACAGTAAACAGGAAGTGGAAAGGCTGCAGATAGATGAATAGAATAGAAAATCCCTTTATTGTTCCTCAGTGGGGAAAGCTAGACGTCACAGCAGCGATGACACTTATTACAGGAGAATAAAAAATAAGAAAAATGAATAAACAAGAAAACATAAATCTGAATACCACTGATGTGTTTTATTTAAAACTGACTTGCTCGTGTGTAATTTGGTTATTCCACATTCAGTGTTAATGCAGAAATAAGTTTGTTTCCAAATTTAAAGGTTCAAAATTGCATATATGTTGATAAAGAAAATGTGCTAATTTGCCGTCACTTTTTCAAAAATATTAAGTTTGGCCCTCGACTCCGTCCCAGAGTTTCATTTCGGCCCCTTGTGAGTTTGAGTTTGACACCCCTGCTCTAGACGAACTTTGACTCACCCGTCTCATACTGTACTACTGTACAGTATCATGCATCTGTATGTGTCTAGATGCACCCTAACAGCTGCTGGAGCTTCTGATGAAACATCCACACCAACACCACCCTAAGGTACACTGATATGTTATTATTGCTGTTAATGAACGGTACAACCGCTACAAGTCAGTTAACAGGCATCATCAGCAGGTTTAGCTTGGAACAGGTGAGTTCTGTAATAAGTTACAGGTGAAGTCCTGTTAGTGATCAATACTGTTACTCAGGTGTGTTTAATACCTGATGTCCTGTCATCTCTACATCACTGTGTGACCTTACTGAAGGATTAATATCTATGTCTACACGTGTGTTTGATTTGCTTCCAGCTGAAGGAACAGACAGCATAGACTCAGCAGCCTGAGGACACCCACACCCGTCAACACATCCTGAAGTTCATCACAAGTCTTTCAAGGCTCCTTTAGACCTGCTGACTGACCTCACCTGTCTGGTAAGATTAAGGTGGAGCTTGTCCACAGACGGCCTATCAGCTGACATGAGACTTTAAATGTACAAAAGGATGAGAGAAACTGAATGAGGTTTACCCTGATATGCTGGTGGTCCTGAGGATTGCTGCCATGATGCCAGTGATAGCAGCTGCAGAGAGGAGCTTCTTCTGATAGAGCTGATTAAAACATGCCTGAGATCCAGCATGTGTCAGTGTTAAAGGACATGTTCTAATAAACATCAACCCTAACCATGTGATGATACTATAGCTGCCTTTGCTGCAGGTGTCACGTTGCGGGGATGGTTAGGACCCAAAGTGTTGATTGCCCAGATGACAAGAGGCAGGAGTTGGTATAAAGTAAAAAATCCTTTATTTAGGAGGAGAACCAAAAATCCAAGGGGGAAAAGGCAAAAGCCCAATAACTAAACTAAGACAAAAATCCAAAAGCTCACCTTCTGAGCAGAGAACTAAAGACTGAGACTAGAGACTAAAGGCTGGAAACAAAACAACGCTGACCAAGAAATACAATGGACCGACAACAACACAGAGACAAGACGGGGCTTAAATAGACTGGGAGGAACAATTAGGGAAACAGGAAGCAGGTGTGTGGAGTGAGGGCTGGAGGGAAGACAGGTGACAACAATTATATAAATGGGGAAGCAGAACCAAAGGAGGGCAGATAAACACAAAACTGAACTAAAAGACTGAGGGAAGGACTCACACACACACAATCACACCCAAACACACTCACACACACTGAATTGGGGAATGGACACGCACACACACACACACACACACACACACACACACACACACACACACACACACACACACACACACACACACACACACACACACACACACACACACACACACACATACACTCACACTCACTGAGTTGGGGAATGGACACGCACACACCCAGACAGACACAGAGCTGGGGACAAAGAGGCTGGAGCTACAACTGGAGGGGATGGGGATGATCGAATGCCTACAAACAGAAAACACATAAATGAGATGCAGACAAAGGACACATGAGGGCGCTATGAGACACAAAAGGGAATCTAGAGAGGGATGGAGAACACCAGGAGGCACATGAAGGAAGGGGCAGACGCAGACCATGACAGCAGGAAAAGTGCTGCTTGTTCTTGTTGCTGGTGTTCAAATATTAAAATTGAACTGTTGTGACTAATTGGATGCTGCTGTCCTTAAATTATGTGTTTGTGTCAGGGGCACACAGAAAAAAGGTTTGTGTGTGTGTGTGTGTGGGTGTGTGTGTGGGGGGGGCAAACGAGTAATCTCGCTTGGGGCACCAAATGGGTAGAGCCGGCCCTGTATGTTAGATTCATTCATGACACACAGACTGATATGTTCCAAATGTTTGTTTCTTTAATGTCGACGATTATAACTTACAACCAATGAAAATCCCAAATTCAGCATCTCAGAAAATTAGAATATTAATTAAGACCAATGCAAAAAAAAGGAATTTTAGAAATGTTGGCCAACTGAAAAATATGAACATGAAAAGTATGGAGAACGGTCAGCACTCAGTAGTAAGTTGGAGCTCTGTTGGCCTGGATTTCTGCAGCAATGTGGCATGGCACGCATTCCATCAGTCTGTGGCATTGCTCAGGTGTTATGAGAGCCCATATTGCTCTGCGAGTGGCCTCCAGCTCTTCTGAATCGTTGGCTCTAGTGTGTTGCACCTTCCTCTTCACAATACCCCATAGATTTTTTTTAATGGTCAGGTGAGTTTGTTGGGCAATCAAGAACGGGGATGCCATGGTCCCTAAACCAGGTACTGGTAGGCTCCCAGGATGACCCAGAAAACGTTGGAGGGATCTACCAGAACACCTTCTTATCAGTGGAAACCTCTCTTCTGCATTGATCCACGGCTTCCCCCTCATGTTGATCATAAGAAACCAAGTTTTACGTGTGCTCATCTCCATTAGGTTACAAACCAGAAAAGCAATTTGTGTTTCAGTTTCAGTGTTTTGCATTTCATATTAAAAAAATGCTTCTTCATCTTCTGATTTTCATTACTGGTTGTTGTTGTTATTATTCTAATTATTCTAATATTATTAATAACATTATTATTAATAACAATAATAAAAATAATAGTTCCAGGTTTGTTGAGGTCACCATGGTGACCATGTTTTTGTGAGACACACACACACATCATGTCATCACACCATTTCATAGCCAGTCAGAGTGGTCGTGGGTTCCTCCAGGACTTTCCCACCCACCCGTTGTGTTTCTCCTGAGGCAGAAAGCAACAGTACTGGTTCGTAAAAACAGCCAGAGGTCAATCTGTCTTATCTGTCTTATTTAGTTTTCTAAATAAATTATACAAAACATTGCAAGGAAAAAACATACATATAATAAATAAATACATAAATAAATAAATACTTCCATAAATAAAATCTATGTCAATATAAGTTAAATGAATAACCTCTTGTGAGCCTGTAGTAAAACACTGTTAGCAGCAGGAAAAAAGACTTCTAACAGAACCTTGTACATGGTACAAAACATGGTGGACCCCTTATTTCTGAGGTTCTTAAGCTCCTGTGTCATCATCCCTTCAAGACTAAACACAAGCCTTTCTTTAACTTCCTGTTAAACTCCATGAAGCCTTTCCCTGAATGTACATGTCATCACAGAGCAAACACTCCAAAGAAGGTCTTTCCTGGCTCGTCCTCCAATTTCTCCATCATTCTCTCCTCCATCACTGTTTTCAGCCTGTCTCCTCTCCGTAGGCTGAACACAGCTCCCATGTATATGGCAGAAAACCAGCTTTCGTCTGAGTCGGAGTTTTCATCGACTGACTTCTGGCACGCAGTTCGAACCGAATGCAGGATGGTTTGATAGGACTTCTCATCATCACTCCCAAACGAACTGGACCAGCGCTTCACGGCGTGGCTCAGGTGGACCATGGACTTTGAAGTGACATCCTCAGCACTCCTGGTGCTGCAACTGACCCGGAAGGATGCTTGACTGTATACAAAGTAGAGACCCGTCTGTGGAATCACTATTTCGTTGTTTATGAGTTGCAGACCTCCTTGGGCATGGGACTGGTCCACCTCAGTTGTCCATTCTATTGCCTTCATGTTGGGGTTGTATTCTCCTGTTTGGCAGACAGATGAAGGTAAACAGACGTTACGGATTGTTGGGTTGTACGATTTCTCGTAACGACTCCTATACATTTCATCGGGAGCTTCTCATAACCATCTGACCGTGTATATTTCTGAAAGCCTCGCAGGAAAATCAAGTTTTAAGGTTATCAAACTGAATGATTGTTCACTCCTTCATCTTCTTGAACAGTAAGGGTTGTGAGGAGCTCGTGTCTATCTCCAGCAGTCCCTGAGCAAAAGGTGGGGGACACCCTGGACAGGTCTCCAGTCCAACACAGATGTCAGTAGGTCACATGCCTTTTCTTTGAGGGAAACTATTATTTTTACCTTCGAGGTGGATGGCTGCTCGGACGTTTGAAATCTCTCTCAGTTTGTGGTGAAGAGCTGTGAATAAGAGAAAGATTGGATTCAACTTGTGTGTACGTTCATCTTCAGGATTTTTTCTTCAGAGGAACAAGGCTAAGGATTTTGTTGAACTCTGGTTTGACACCACCTGAGCAGAAGCCGGTCCTGTTGGACGATGCTTTTAACCACAGCCGTTAATTGTTTTAGTCTTTTCAATCTCTAACAACGAATCTGAAGAACAACTCACCATTTTGGTCTTCATCTGGTACTGGACTCTGTGTAAAAAGAGATAGACAGAAAAGGTTTTGCAGAGGTTGGGTTCTGGTGATCCAGCTCAGTTTGTGGCAGGAGACGTGTGGACTCACCTTTGTGTGTGTGTTGAGGATGAGGAAAGCTGCAGCAGCAGCAAGGCAGACAGCAATCAGGACCACGGTCAGCTTTGACCCGTGAGATGCTCTGGAGATAGTTGGTGTCAGTTTAACAGCTTCTGCAGCATTTAGCTCTATCTTACATTCAGACTCCATGGTTTGAGGTTTCTGCAGTGCAAACACCAGCCTCCTCTTCTGCTCTGGTCTAGTGACCGACTTGGATTGTGGCTTTTTAAAAACCAGGTTCCTCCTTCAGGGGAAACTCCCATGATGTCACTCACATTGAAGAAGTGGAAATTAATGATAAAGAGGGACCCACAGCTTGGGAAGATCTAACATGCCACACACTCCCACACAACATGTGACTAAACTACCCCACTGGTTGTGCAATAAAGCAAACATCTGATTTGAAGAAAACTCCAGAACACACTGAAAATGTGATGTTCTGATAATCTGTCAGTAGAGACAGTCCTCAAGTGTTCACAGTATAGCTGTAATAATAATAATAATAATAATAATAATAATAATAATGTATTGAACTTATATAGCGCTTTTCAAGACACCCAAAGACGCTTTCACACACTCTCACATTCACACACTGCTAGTGATGGTAAGCTACTTGTAGCCACAGCCGCCCTGGGGAGGTCTGACAGAGGCGAGGCTGCCATTTGGCGCCGTCGGCCCCTCTGACCACCACCAACACAGGCAAGTTGGGTGAAGTGTCTTGCCCAACTATAAATACAAATACAACAATACAACTCAAATGTTGAACAATGGTCAAAGTAGTTCTCTTTTAAGGACCATGTGACTTAAAAATTAACGGAGGCAGCAGCCTAAACCGAGAGGCCCAGACTTCCCTCTCCCCAGCCATCTGGGTCAGCTCCTCCAGGGGAATCCCAAGCGTTCCCTGGCCAATCGAGAAACATAGTCTCTCTTTAGGTCTCCTCTCAGTTGGACGTGCCCAGAAAACCTCACCAAGGAAGTGTCCAGGAGGCATCCCAACCAGATGCCCGAGCCACCTCAACTAGCTCCTCTTGATGTGTAAGAGCAACGGATCTACTCCAAGCCCCTCCTGAACAACCAAGCTTCTTGCCCTATCTCTAAGGGCCCAGACACTCTATGGAGAACACTCGTTCTCCAGAGTGGTATAGTGCCAACCCCTCTTGAGGGAGCTGGTTCCAGAGCCAGAGCCATGCTTTAGCCATGCTGAAGGTGAATTTAACTATATCTACTTCAACCTCAAACACCAGCTCAGGCTCTTTTCCCTCCTGAAAAGTGACATTCCAGCTGCTGAGAGCTGTTGCTGAGGATCAGGCTACTCAGGTCCCCACCTTCGTGGGACCCACATCTCCTCTTCGGGCTGGGCCCCATGGGTGAAAACCTGGCCACCAGGCGCTCGCCAACATGCCCCAACTCCATGCCGCCAGTGGTCTAAAAGCTCCCAGTTAAATGAGAATATGAGATAGCAGTCTGACTTCGAGAGGCAGATGCTTTTCTTTGTTGTCTTGATATAAAACATGCGGTCACCCTTTAAAAACAGCAAACTAGTAAAGGTCCAAAGTCCAACACGGTGAGTTCAGCTTTAAAACTTTATTGTTTTGTTGCACATTAACACACAGTAGGGAGATGATTGGAATAAATGTGCTAAACAGAGGTGTGACGTTTTGGCATCATCAAGTCAAATTAACCTGGTTCAGTTGCTGAGCAGAACAAAAACATGACATGGAGATGACTTGATGATGCCACAATGTCACACCTCTGGTGTTAAACAACCCAAAGGCGACATCTTTGTAGAGAAATGACTAACCACTCTGCCCAACGCTGAAGACACTGCAGTGGGAGGGGGTCTACCTGACAGCAACACACAAAGGATGTGAAACAGGATGTTTTCACGCAATAGCTCACTTTCACTCTAAACTTCCTCCTTCTTTGGTTACATTTGGATTCAAGAAAAACTATCGATAAATTCCCCTCTTCTGCACCCCGTCACCCTGCTTGTTACATTTAGCCTGTTTCTAAAAATTGCTCAAGAAGTAAACTCCCTTTTTCTAAAACAGAAACCTGATTTTCTCCCCAGAGTCACATGCTTCTCTACTTCCTCCTCATAAAACTAGGCCTCGTTCCTGTGCAAAGTGTCCTCAGATGGCCTCTGTTTAAAACCAGCTCAAAACAGTGGAATGAATTTGGACAGAATAACCGTAGTCCAAGGGCCTGTTGCCAAAAACTACGATAAGGGATTAAGCTGAGATATTATGGTTATCCTGGCTCAAGTTATCTGTGATCCAGTTGCACGAAAATAGGCTGGAGGCAGCAGGATATGTTATGAAATAAGCTACTGTGGAGCTAGCCTGCTCCAGACCAGGCTAAATTCCAGAATCCATTTAACCCTCATCTCAGTCACCCATCACCCCAAATGGAAACCAATAGTTTTTCCACTGCTCACTACATATTGTTATCACATATAACTACTGTAGACTCGCTGTAACTGTTTAAATGTTTGTGATCATTAAAATTCAATCATGTTTGATGATTTTAGATTATGTTGAGATCATCAGGAGTTCCCATGGAGACTATATGTAAAATGATGAAATATTAGGGCCACAGAGAAAATAATCTGACTTTGAGAATAAAGTCACAATATGGTGATCTGTTGCTTTAGAGGATGAGAGTAGTCAAAATGAGAGCTGTGGAGCTTTTCATGTAATTGTACTTCAGTGTACAGGTTTCACAGTCGAGGAGATCTGGTTGTTCTGATTTCCATGTGTGCACCATATTGGGATGATTTCTCAACCATCTGCCACCCATTACAATGGGTACAGAAAGTATTCAGACCCCCATCCATTTTTCACTCTTTTTTATATTGCAGCCTTTTGCTAAAATTAATTAAATTCATTTTCTCCTCATTAATGTACACACAGCACCCCGTATTGACAGAAAAACACAGAATTTTAGACATTTCTGCAGGTTTAATGAAAAAGACAAACAGAAATATCACATGGTCCCAAGTATTGAGACCCTTTGCTGTGAAACTCGTATATTTTACGCAGGTGCTTTCCATTTCTACTCATCCTCCTTGAGATGGTCCTACACCTTCATTGGAGTCCAGCTGTTTTTTGATTCTACTGATTGGACTTGATTAGGAAAGCCACACACCTGTCTATATGAGACCTTACAGCTCACAATGCATGTCAGAGCAAAGGAGATTCGTGAGGTCAAAGGAACTGCCTGAAGAGCTCAGAGACAGAATTGTGGCAAGGCACAGATTTGGTCAAGGTTACAAAACATCTCTGCTGCACTAAAGGTTTCTAAGAGCACAGTGGCCTCCATAATCCTTAAATGGACAACGTTTGGGACAGCCAGAACCCTTTCTAGAGCTGGCCTTCTGACCAAACTGAGCTACTGGGGCAGAAGAGCCTTGGTGAGAGAGGTAAAGAAGAACCCAAAGATCACTGTGGCTGAGCTCCAAAGATGCAGTCAGGAGATGTGAGAAGGTTGCAGAAAGTCAGCCATCACCACAACCCTCCACCAGTCAGGGCGGCAGAGTGGCCCGTTGGAAGGGTCTCCTCAGTGCAAGACACATGAAAGCCTGCGTGGAGTTTACTGAAAGACACCTGAATTCTAATTCTAAGCAGTATGTGTGGAGAAAACCAGGCACTGCTCATCACTTGTCCAATACAGTCCACACAGTGAAGCATGGAGGTGGCAGCATCATGTTGTGGTGGTGTTTTTTGCTGCAGGGACAGGACGACTGGTTGCGTTTTAGGTAACGATAAATTTCAGCCAAGTACAGGGATATCCTGGACAAGCACCTTCTCCTGAGTGCTCAGGAACTCAGACTGAGCCAAAGGTTTGTGTTCCAACATGACAATGTCCCTATGCTCAAAGTTAAAATAACAAAGGAGGCGTCACGGTAACTCTGTGACTATTCTTGAATGGCCCCAACAGAGCCAATTTAAACCCAATTGAGCATCTCTGAAGAGACCTAAAATGGCCGTCCACCAATGTTCACCATCCAACCTGACAGAACAGAAGAGGATCTGCAAGGAGGGATGTCAGGAGATCCCCAAATGCAGGTTTAGAAAACTTGTTGCATCTTTACCAAGAAGTCTCGTGGCTGTATTAGCTCAAAAGGGGCTTCTACCAAATACTGAGCAAAGAGTCTGAATACTTATGACCATGAGATATTTCAGTTTGTCTTTTTTTTCTATTATTCTGTTTTTCTGTGAGCGTGGGGTGCTGTGTGTACATTAATGAGTTAAAATGAATTTAATTGATTTAGCTAATGGTTGCAATGTAACAGAGTGAACATTTGACAGGGGTCTGAATACGTTCTGTACCCACTGTAATAGGCTGCAACACAAATTGTGTGCTCTCCTCATTGGACCAAAGTGCGACCCAAAAATGGACTCTTACTAAATCTGCTGAGTCAATTCAAAACTTTTTGGCCTCATATGGGGTGGTTGTTAATCTTTTTCAGATACCAAACTAATGCAAATGGTGACATAGTGTGACATGGCACCATTGCAGCAAGCTGTAGCCTTGTTCAGTTTTTCTGCATAACCCACTGAACACAGGAAGTCTTTGCTTGCAACAAAGCTCAAAGTCAGACAAACCATTTCCTCAACACTCTGTTGAGTTCTGTGATGTGTGTAATCCTGGGTCCCAGCAGTCGGCACGAATATCTGAGGGCATCTGCAGAAAAGCTGTACCTTTTATTTAGATGGTCATAAGGGAAGGCCAGTGTATCCAGCTGGTCCCTGATAACCAGTGGCAAATCATGGTGGGGCTGTATGTGTAACATTTACGTTGTTAGCACATTGTAACTATTAAAATAAAAAGTGTAATAAAATAATATATTTCTGAAACAGTCATTAATTTCCCTTCTCCAAAAAAGTAGCAGATAGCAAATTTTCTAATTTACAGATAAATTATAATAAAAATAATAATAGTAATTATAATTTAATAATAAAACAACTAAAACACGAGTCTTTAAGAGCAACTGCAGTCAATTTCCATCTTTGTTTTATTTCCATTTTCCCCCCCAAGTTTTGTTTTCTACCTTGAGTTTTCAGTCTCTAGCAGCCTGTGTGTGTCTTCATTGATCATCTGCTCAAAGCATGCACATCTCACAGCAAAATACCCAGCTTGGCCAGCAGGTGGCAGTCTTAGACAAAATGTTTTATTATAATCACAAAAAATTGAAAACAAATAACTACAATTTACAACAACCATCTTATGTATGATTTCAGCTCTTTCTTTTTAAACCAACAATGTGTGTGTGTGTGTGCACGCGTGCGTGCGTGTGTGTGTGTGTGTGTGTGTGTGTGTGTGTGTGTGTGTGAGAGAGAGAGAGAGAGAGAGAGAGAGAGAGGGTGAGTGAAAGAGAGAGAGAGATAGAGTGAAAGAGAGAGGGGAAAATGAGAACAAGCACTTTCTAGTATGCTAGCCAGACGATTTCTGTAACGGGGCGTGTAGGTCTAAGCCCCAGGGGCATTGGATTC